TCTATGCAGTAAAGGAGACTCAGCAAGACCAGTCCACCCTCAAGTAACACTTGCTTGCAGTGTGGGAAACCAGAAGGTCAGGGAAACTGCTGCCATTGATACAAGGCTTTCAAGGAATCCTGTCAGCTCTGCCAAGAACCAGGCTATTAGAAAGGCGGATATACAGAGAGGAGAGACAGAGAGGAAGATCTTCCGTCCGATGATTCACTCCCCAAGTGAGCACAACGGGTCGATACTATGCCTATCCAAAGCCAGGAGCCTCTTCCGGGTCTCCCACGCGGGTGCAGGTTCCCAAACCTTTGGGCTGTCCTCGACTGCTTTCCCGGGCCACAGGCAGGGAGCTGGAAGGGAAGCGGGGCTGCCGGGATTAGAACCGGCACCCATATGGGATCCCGGGCGTGCAAGGCGAGGACCTTTAACCACTTGCGCCACCGCGCCGGGCCCGAACCAGGCTATTAGAAAAGGAACTGTCCTGGAGGTCACAGAATTCCTGGGTCAGAATCATGGTGGGCCACAAGTCAGAAGCCCTTTACTCTGCCCAGCTCCCAAATCATCCATCTCCATGGAGCAATGGCCTAGGGTCAACAGCATCACAGGGAAAGCTGTGTATTCCATCCAGAGGAACCATCTGTTCTATACCAGCCTCCATTTCAAGCCAGCTGTTCTCTCTGTCCAGCCAGGTAATGGGAATCAATGGGATGGCTCCCCACAGAGCTTCACACTTTCTTTATGATGTCTCTTCTGGTACCTTATGTGAAGAGATAGATGGTCCTGGGCCTCACATAACTCCTGGGCAGACCTTAACACCCACCTCCTGTCAACGTCTGGATTTGGACAATAGCAGAACTTTCCTGGGTGCCTGCAGACTTGAAGTTCCAGTGCTCATGTGTGTAAGACCTCAAAAACAGTTTTTGCTAGCTGGCATTGTAACCCTCAAGGCCACTGTCGGTTGGAGCCCAGGCTTTACCATAGGCCCTTACTTTGTTCCTATTCAGCTCAGAAAGGCCAGAACAATTGCCCTAGCTCTTGCAAGCAGCCAGAGTCGCCATGAGCAGAGGGAGGGAAACAGCACAGAACTAGAAGTAGGCCAGACTATCTCCACTAGAAAATAGGCACTGTACTGTCAGAAGTGTTTCTCTTTTCCACAACTATACATATTATTGGTTGCTTCTTTTTACACTTGTCTGTTTCTTGAGGCCTCACTAAGCAGTCTGAATCAATTCTTCATGCCTATTCTAGCCAAGCCTCCCCACTAGTATCACACAACAAAAGGCTAGGATAGTGGGATGGAGAAGTGACCTCAGTACCCTGCCAAAGCCAAGTGGACACTCCATCCAAGAATGGCCGAATGCAGAGTCTGCACAGAAGGTCAGCACCTGCCGTGGTGATCGATCACCACCACAGAGGCACCCCCGAGAAGCTCCTCATCAAAACAAACCCTCAGACATTACATATTCCTGTGAGCCTCAGGAAGAACTCAGGCCATCTTTCGAAAGGACTTTTGATAGCCTCCCTCCACTCCTATGTCATCCACACTCAAATGCAAAATGTTTTCTAACCAAACCATTAACCAGCTTCTTTTGCAAGACCAAGTGTCTCTCATTTCTCCCCCACCAGGTTGAGACCACTGCCAAGAGAACACTGCGCATAAACTCAGCTCGAAGAAGCCATGGAGGAGAACAAAGGTCCTTTTCCTTTAGAACAAAAAGGAGGAATGTGAGTAACTTGAACATAGGCCCGGAAGGCTTCAGCGATTTTGACTCTGTACTATTTCTGTGCCATTCCGGTTATTCACCAATGAAATGGTATCTTACCTGAGAACCTCACCCAACGGTCTCGCAGTCCCTCCCTGTAATCCTTGCCCACCTACCAATCACCTACGATAATCTCAGTCACCAGTCTGTGCTACCCACCCACAGCCCCTCCCAACCAGTTCCCTGCACCTCCCATGCTTTCAGGCTCACCTGGGTTGTTCAATGAGCCTCCATGTGTGCTCCCTTCCCCCATTCTACTCCAGCTTGCCCCCTGCCCTGCCCTCGCAGTTCCCATCCTGCCACCGTGGCAGGAGATGTTTCTTTTCTTGTTCTTTCCCCCTCTGACCCTGCTCCTATTCATACCCCGTTGGAATAAAAGACTTCCTAAGCAGCTTGCTGCATCTGAGATTTTGGCTTGCAGTGAACTTATCATGAAAAGAGGACTTTGCTGAGGGAATTAGCTGCGTATAAGAACTTTAAGTGCACTTTAAAACCTAACACACACCCTCTTTTTAAGATTTATTTCTATTTGAAAGACAGATTTACAAAGAGAAGCAGAGAAAGAATTCTTCCAGTTGATGATTCACTCCCTAGATGGATACAATGGCTGAACTGTAGCTGATCCAAAGCCAGGAGCCGGGAACTTATTCTGGATCTCCTACAAGAGTACAGGGTTCCAAGCACTTGGGTCATTCTCCATTGCTTTCCAAGGGCATAAACAGGGAGCTGATGGGAAATGAAGCATGTGGGACATAAACCAGCACTCATAAGTGATGCCAGTGCCACAGGGTGAAAAATGAGCCTGCTATGTCACTGTGTCAGTCCAAGAGAATTACATTTTTAATTAGTGAAACTGTTTTTAAGTTAAGCTACAACATATATATACTTTATATCATAGTATGATGATTTGGTTATCACAAGCAAATATACTCACATAATCTTAATTCAGATGAAGAAATCGAACATTTCCAACATACCAGAAGGTCCATCATGGTCCCACCCAATTATTATTCTGCTCTTCGCAAATGCAGTCATTGTCTCTATGCATCACTTATGCTTGTTTTTTTTAAAAAAAATTTGTTTGTAAATGGATTCACACACTTTTTTAAAAAGTTTTTTTATTATAAAGTCAGATATACACAGAGGAGGAGAGACAACGAGGAAGATCTTCCGTCCGATGATTCACTCCCCAAGTGGCCACAATGGCCGGTGCTGTGCCAATCCAAAGCCAAGAGCCAGGAACCTCCTCCAGGTCTCCCACACGGGTGAAGGGTCCCAAGGCTTTGGGCCGTCCTCTATTGCTTTCCCAGGCCACAAGCAGGGAGCTGGATGGGAAGCGGGGCTGCTGGAACTAGAACCGGGGCCCATTTGGGATCCCAGTGTGTTCAAGGCGAGGACTTTAGCTGTTATGTCACCGTACCAGGCCCAGTTCACACACTTTTGAGAACTTTGTTGAGGTAGAATGCCCACAAATGTGCAGCCTGAGACTGAGGGCAGACCATGTCAAGCAGAGGCACTGCATCCACCAGCATGTGTGAGATCCAGGGTTAGGTGGAAAGGGCCTGGCAGGAGAACTGTGGGTACTCTGCTGCTAGGCTGTACTTTCCAATGGTGAATCAGGTGAATCAGGGCTGGAGGTGGTAGACCAGGCTCGACAAGGCAGCAGCACCTGTTGGCATACCTGAGGGCTAGGTTTGGGGGCAGGACAGACTAAGCTTAGCTGCACCACCCATGGGTGTGCATGAGATCCAGATAGAATGTGGCTGGGCTGGACTAGGCTGCAGCAGAGCATGGCATGCACAAAAACTGGTGCTGGGGATGGACCTGGTGGGAGTTATTGGTAGTTTCCCCAACTAGGCTGTGGCACCCACTGGTGTGCATGAGGACTGAGTCTGTGGCAGGCTGATAGGAGGGGAGGTCACAGCACCTGTGTTGGGTTACACGTGATATGTGGCTGGGATCAGGCAGCTACATGCACTGGTATGTGTGCTGACTGGTACAGGTGACAGACCAAACCTAACCCTGCACTGGCTGGCACACACAAGTCTGAGGTCACCTGAGGTAAGGTTTCTTGGGGGCTTCCCCAGCTAGCCCACTGGATTTAGACTCCAGCTACAGGGAAAGTCACAGAATGTGTGGTCCAACTTCAGAGTGCATGCATGCACGCCTTGGTCTGGGCCTCCACAGTTGCTGGTGTCTGTGCAGTGAACAGCATGCCCAGATGCACATGGGGTCATGATAGCCAGCTCATCTAGGACAGCAGGGTATGTGGAGTGCCTTGTCAGAGGATGGAAAACAGAGCAGGTTAGACAAGTCTCCTAGGCAAGCTGGCAGCATGTTTCTGGGCCTGGGGACACACTAAGGTGGACTTTGTTGACCAGTAGACCTTGGAAAGATTCTCTCAACCGTAGAGCAATAAAGCCAAAAATATCTCAGAACTATCAAAACCACTCAAGTAACAACACGATTGGAACATTCTTCCCCACATCCGAATCTCTAAGGCATTATCAAATAACTATCCTCCATCCTTGGATGCTGACGTAGTTTGACAGCAAGGAGCAGCCCCATCTTCCTCCTCCCCTGCAGACACAAGAAAAAAAAAAGGAAAGGAAAAACTGAAACATTTATCCCAATCACCTTCCTATCTACCTGACCCTCCCCACCCTGTAGGGAGGCCCACATCGGGGTACATTTCTTTCAATTAGGTAAACAATATTATAAAGAAAATTTAAAGTTTTATTTATTTATTATTCCTTTCTAGATGTAGAGATATCATCCATCAATTGATTTGCTCCCTAGATCCTGGGACCTGCCCAGACTGAAGCCAGGAACTTGGAATTCCACCCAGGCCTGACTTGAACCATCACTACACCCTCCCAGAGGCAGCATTAGAGGGAAGCTGGAACCAGGATCTAGAGCCACATCCTGATTCCAGCATTCCTAAGTAGGATGCAGGCATGTGACCTGACAGACTCAACGCTTCCCCTTTGTTGATGGACTATGACTCAGTTTTCAAAAGCAAATGTTGTAGTGCATTCCAGGACACCTGTGTTCACAGGATCAGTTCTGTGAAACTATATTTGGATGTCCACGCTATTAAAAGCTTCTTGTACTGAACGACCTTTCGGGCAGAATTTAGATTGAATGCCCATGCTGCTGCTGCCTGTGGCTGAGTAGAAGACAGAAAACTGAAATTCAAACATCTCTGGGATTTTGTTTTGTTTCTCTTCATTCTGCTTTAAGAAGATGAGCATTGAAACCACAACCCTGATATCCTTGAAGGAGGCAATGAAAAGGTTTTTAAGGGCCACAGGGAGGGAGCAAGCATGGGTGTGTTATTCTAAGAAGACGGGTAAGAGAAGGATGAAGACTAGAAATAAGAACTATACAGACTTGTCTGTGCTAAAACAGCTTCAGTCTTCCAGGCTCAAACCATAATTAATTTCATAATAAAAGAAAATCCTACTCCTGGATGCTGTAAGCCCATGCAATTTGTGTGTATGTGTCTAAATTTACAAAATTAAGTGAAATTTGGCTGCTGCCCTTCAGGAACTCACAGCTTGTATAAATGGTAGACATACTTAAAATCACAAGTTAAAGCAAGTGACCTAGGAAGGACATGCTCCTAAATGGCTGTGGAATGTGAAGATCAATCAGTTTAGTCTTTGACCGTAGGAAAAGGAACCCCCTTCCTAGATGGACACTTCAGCTGGATCTTCAAGGGTTGGTGGGTTTTGAAAGAGAGAAAGAAATGGAAAGGAATTCTAGATAGAGGGAACAGCACTGGGAAGCCAGATGGCAGCTTGTGATTGTATATGGATGACTAGCGGGTCTGAGAGGACTGCTAAAAGGTGGGAGCAAAGGGAAAACAGTTCTGTGTGTCCTGATGAGGAGTTCCAACTTGGCTCTGAGATGCTACAAACAAATCATGGTGGCCCAGAAGGCACGTAACCACGTGAGTTACATAAACCACATTATGTCTTGGAGGACTCTAATTGAAGGGTGCGTCGGAGGCTGAAACAAGGTCCTGACAAGAAAGGGCTGATCAGAAAGATACTAAGAGGGAAGGGAAAAAAGGTGGGAATTATTCTGAGATTTCCAGTTTCAGCAATTGGTTTGATGGTGGAGATCTGTAGCAAAAAGACTGCTTGATTGACTTAAGATTTCTTTGGATGGTCTGAGAATGCCATTTGATGAGAAAATTCCAAAGACCTATTGTAATGGTAAACTTTTACACTGATTGACATGCTAGTGTTGATCTTTAAAATTTAAGCGAAAGAGGACTCATGGTAGTAGTCTTAAATGTCCAAAGATTAATACCACCTATATATATTCTTGGTTATATGTTTTGATTTGCAGCCAGGCTATTGGCATATGGTTATACAGGCTTATACTCCTTACAAAAGTCATTTATTACAGGGTTTTACTGTCAAATTCCCTACAGTTCTTACCTATGTGTGAATAGAATCCAAAGCAGTGGGAGAACTCCTTCATAGTAATCTCTGAAGATGCGAGTGGGCAGAGGCAGTGTACTTAGATTCAGTTCAGGACAACTGAATTTGACATCTGCTTCCAGGTGGAGACAGGCAAAATAGAGTTGAAAACACAGATGTGGAGCTGATCTAGCCTTAGGAATAACTTGGAAGCAAGAAGAGAAGATGATCAAACATAGAAGCCCAGGCAACCTCAAAAGTATTTAGGTCATGTGGGAGTGGCATGTGTCTGTGCTTTACTCCAGCCATGAGAGACACTGTGAGTGGTAGTAGGCAAGTGAGTTGTGTGGCTGCGGATGTTTGTGGGTCTTTGTGCTGTTCTTTGCAGTGTGACAGTGCCCTCTGATGATTAGGGCTCTTCAAACTATTCACATCACCATGGTGGTTTGCACAGTTCAAAATCTTCACATCACAGCTGTCAGTCACAGAGTAGATGTATTTTATTATTTCTGTGTAAGGCCTCTGCTGCCAGTGGGGGGAGCAGGTCAGACAAAGAATATCTAAGAAATGATCTCTGATCCTTCCCTTCCAAAACAAAGATTTGCATTTATAAAAATGAAAAATAAAGTAAGAGCTGGAAAATCAGTTCCTGAGAGAATCTAGACAGTGAAGAGATCTCTAGCAGGGGGGAGGGAGCATTCCAGTGGAATGAGGACCAAGCTTTGAAGGAAGGTTAGGCTCTGGACAGGCAAAATAGCATAGTGAAAAACATCTTAAAACGTGATGGTCCCAGCACAACCAGCTTTGACATGAAAACTGAGTCTTCTTTGGTAATTCAACTTTTTAAAATCTGTAAAACCGTAAAATATCACAGATTTACTTCTTATGGCTGTTTTGAGAGTCACAGTAGTTCTTATATACTCTTTTAAAGTCTAATGTATAAGTAAGACATGAAAAATAATTCAAGGAATTAATTCAAGTTATACAACACAATAAATAAGGACAAGGGCTAAAGGGAGTGGCAATGGCAATATGTGTTAATAATTTTAAACTCAGTTACCCAATGTTGAAAGAAGTTGTAAATATTAAAATCTAAGGTTAAGCCTAAATCTCTTTATTCCCTGGATCTATGTTTCTTTCATATTACAGAGTAGACCACAAACTCCAAGCTTTGCAAACACAATTCAAAGACCTGGACTTCACCGTGGATAATCTGACACAGAAATTTGAACATCATAATAAAACTCTGGCAAACCAAGCAGCCCAAGATGAGATGTGGACAGCAGTATTGGCACTTAAGTGAGTATTAAATGAGAAAACAGGAAATGTTGTGACTCTGGGAGGAGGTTTTCAAAAATTGAATTTAATATTGTACCAACATTGGATTGTGAAGAAACTACATTTGGGGGATTAATTCATTCAGGACATACTAACTCCACCTTCGTTTACTGGCATTGTGCTACAAACCTCCTCACAGAGTCTCTCACTTGCCAAAATCTTACTAACACAGAAATGCGTAATAGAACTCCCGAGCCACCAAGGAACTTACAGTATGTGTGGTTTGAGAATTCACCTGCCCAGCAGAGGGCAGACACCGAATCTGAGCTATTTGCTAAAATATAGCAGCTAGTGCATCTAGTGGTTTGTGGTGTTGTGTTGCAAAGATCACCTTATGTTTGGCACACGCTATTATTCCAGAAACTCTTTTTTTCCCCATAGGTTCACTTCAATGGAATTCAGTATCTTATACAGCTATGTCATTGAAGTACTTATCCATCTACATACTCATGTGCTCGAGAAGCTGCCTGACCTGGCGAGGAGTCTTCCCACTTTAGCCTCTGTTCTCAGGCGGAAAGTCAAGAACAAGCACGTTAGAGTTGTGTGGCAGTCTGTCCTGGAAGAGGATGGGCTAGAAGAAGGAGATGTCACAGCACTTTGCACCTTCTTTATCGTCCACGGGAGCAAGGCAGAACACTACACTGCTAAAGTGAGGCAGATGTACATCAAAGATGTCTCACTCTTGATCACCAACATGGTGAAGAACCGGGCTCTGAGGGATGCTTTGTTGAAGGCTGTTCAGGTCATTGAAAAGGGAAAAGCAGGGAGGAGCTACGAAGAGCCAAAGTCATCCATCAAAGAGCTCATACTGTCAGTCAAAAACTAACCTGGAGCCAGCAGGTGGCATCTCTTTCTCCGTGCCTGACTCTTAAAACAAACAAATAAAAAAACATCAATTGTTTAGTGAAGGCTTGTTTTTAAACAGAAAGTAAGAGGAATATTAAAAATATTATGGGGCCTGGAATGATAGTTTAGTGGTTAAAAGTTCTCACCTTGTATGTGCAAGGATCCCAAATGGGTGCAGGTTCACATTCCGGCTGCTCCACTTTCCATCCAGCTCCCTGCTTATTGTCTGGGAAAGCAACAGAGGATGGCCCAAAGCCTTGAAACCCTACACTCGTGTGGGAGACCTGGAAGAAGCTTCTGGCAACTGACTTCAGATTAGCGCAGCTCTGTCTGTTACAGCCATTTGGGGAGGGAATTAACAGATGGAAGATCTTTTTCTCTCTCTCTCCTTCTCTCTGTAAATCTGATTTTCCAATAAAACATGAATAAAATATTTTTAAATTATGACAAATGGCTACAATGACCTTTTTTCCATCTTGCATTATATTTTTGACAATCTTTACATAGTTAATTTAGGCATAAAGGTTCAAGAGCTATAGGAAAGTAGGCAGGACTATCATTTCCACATATTTTTTTTCTATATCTGGGGTAAAGAGGGAGATAAAGGGAGAAGTCCCACCCAGTCTCCCACCCATTCCAGATCCCCAATATGGAACATGCTCAGAGGGTCTTGCTCAAGTGGTCTTGATAGTTCAACAGTTATGAATTGCTTCCAATCTCGGCAGTCCAAGCACAATAAGGTCGCTGAAGAAACCACTGATTGACATAGTCCATCTTAGAGTCTCTATCTGCCCAATGTTTCACTGCCAGCATATGGCTGAGGTAGTTGACTGACTTGTTCTGCCCTCTGTCCTTTCATGGTTATGGTTCTGAGTCTGGCATTTCGACTGGGGAGATCCCCAAAGAAACTTTGAGGTGTTCCCAGACCAGATTTTTGTGTGTACTTGGAATTGCAGGGCCTGGTACAGTCCATCACCCCGAGCAGCTGGTGGTTGCAATTGCTGGGTCTATTCTGATTCCAGCCCTGACTTCCACTGGAAACAATGGGTGTTGCAGTCTAGCCTGATTCTGCCCAGCACACACTCGGCCCTCACATAAACCAGTGGGAGCTGCAACCTAGTCAGAGTGATCAACAATAACCCCACCAGGCCTGCCCCCTACCCTAGTTCCCATGCTTGCCATTATGTACAGCAGACTAGTCCAGTCTGTCCCACATCCCATTCAGCTCTCATACATATCAGTGGGCATTGAAGCCTAGTTCAACCCAACCAGCTCTACTATCCAACCCACACACATGCTATTGGGTGCCCTTCTGTGTAGCCACCACTGTCCCTGTCCTGGTTTTTGTGCCCTCTGGTGGGAGTGGTAATCCAAGAGGGAGGAGCCCACTATTTCCCTTCTAGGCCACTCACTCCCGGTTATGCACTCTCCAGGTGGTTCTGCAGTGTAACTTGACAGAATTAGCCCCCAGTGCCAGCTTCTGCCAGCTGATGCTGCAGCTAAGCCCAAACAACCCTCACCCACTCTAATTTTTGTTTGCACCAGGAGGAACAATCAGCCCAGCCTGGCTTTTCCCTGATCTAGGCCACATGAGGCCCACAGGTTTTGTAGCCCTGCCTAGTCTAGTCTGCCCCCATCCCAGCTTATGCTCTCCAGTTGGAGTAGCTGTCCAGTAGGGAGTGCCCCCCCCACATTTTCCCTGCTGGCTTCACACCCTCCCTCCTTGGTTCTCAGCAGTGCTGGTTGGGCACTGCAGCCACATCTTGTACAGGTCACCTCACCTGGACATTCTGTGTTGTGCACTGATTTTTGTCACGATCAAACCTGGCTCGACCCACACTCTGTTCTGGTCCTCAGATTTGCCAGTGGGTGATGTGAACTGGTTCAACCTGGTCTGCCCCCAACCCATGCCCAAATGTATGCCTGTGGAAAACTTCCCGTGGCCTGTTCTGGGCTGTTTCCTATTATGTTTCTTGCGCTTACCTGTAGGGATTGTGTCCTGCCAGAGGAGTTGCCCAGGCTCCTCCATCAGAACCTCTCCCAATGCCAGATTTCACGCATACCAGTGGGGTCCATGAGCCAGCCCTACTCAGTTCACATTCTGTTCTTGTAGGAACAGTGGCTTTTCCTGACTGGCTTTCAACCCAATCTGGCTCTTACTGTTGGATGTTTCAGCCCAGCCATGGCTTGAATGAACATTTTCTTTATGTCTAAATCAAAGAAAAAGAAGGTTTCTGGATAATGATTCAGTATTATCACCAAAATTTATTGTTGCTCTTAACTATTTCCAAAATATATTGTTAAATGGAGATAAACATCTAATACAAGCCAGTATGGCAAATATAAAAATAGGATTCATATTAGCTTATATATCCATAAACTTCTGCAGAGAAGAAAATGATGGTATTTGCCATCCTAGGAAGAAACCTGAGACTAGAGGATGACTAGGAAAAAAGACTAAGAAGTCTTCTCATTATTAATCCACTTTATATATCTTGAATTTTGAATTATGTGACTTTATGACTATTAAAGGCAAATAAGTAATAAAACACACCTAACATGCAGTGCTACAAACCACATGTTGATGTCGATTTTTTTGCTAGTATGGTAACAGTTTATCTTTATTTGAAAGGTAATTCTTACATACTGACCACTTAATTATAATATTAATTGAACACCTAATGCCATGTGCTTTGTGCTGTTACAGAAACATTAAAAGATGTGGAAGTTTCCAGTGCCTAAAAGACTGTGTCACATAATGCAATGTAATCAATAAAAAGAAATTAGTAGGAAAAAAAAAGATGTGGAATGGTCATTCAGCTCATATCAGGTACCTGGTTTTGAGTCCCTGTTCCACTCTCCTCCAGCCTGCTAAGGCACACCCTAGGAGCAACAGGTGATAATATACGTAGTTGGTTGCTTGCCCTCAAATGCGCTATCTGGATTGAGACCTGGACTCCTGGCTTGGATCTGGTCCAGGTCTGGCTGCTATGGGCATTTGATGCGTGAACCAATTAATGGGCGATCCTCTATGTCTTTTTTTGGTTTTTTGTTTTGTTTTGTTTTTTGTTTATTTTTTTATCTTTTTAATTTATTTTTCTTCTTCTTCTACGTCTTTTTGTCTCTGTTCTCTCTCTCTTAAAAATATAGTAATAGGGCCCGGCACGGTGGCGCAAGTGGTTAAAGGTCCTCGCCTTGCACGCCCGGGATCCCATATGGGCACCGGTTCTAATCCCGGCAGCCCCGCTTCCCTTCCAGCTCCCTGCCTGTGGCCTGGGAAAGCAGTCGAGGATGGCCCAAAGGTTTGGGAACCTGAACCCGCGTGGGAGACCCGGAAGAGGCTCCTGGCTTCGGATAGGCATAGTATCGGCCCGTTGCACTCACTTGGGGAGTGAATCATCGGACGGAAGATCTTCCTCTCTGTATCTCCTCTCTGTATATCCGCCTTTCCAATAAAAAAAAAATAATAAAAATAAATCTTTTAAAAAATACAGTAATAAATAAATAAATTTTAATAATATACACCCAGCCATCAAGGCAAGGATTTGGTGTTGATGCATTGTCTTGAAGTACAAATTCAGCATGGTCAGAGCTAAGTAACATGCTGGAAGGGTTGGGTAGAGAAGGTTATGAAGTGATAATAGGTGAAGCCAGCCCCTCCTTGGAGATGACAAGACACACAGGAAGTTGTGCAGCAGGTACATCCTCTCCATCTTGTCCTTCTCCAGACACACTGGAGAAAGCAGGCGTAGGCAGAAAGGAGAAGGCATTGGTGAGTTGTGCTCAGTCTACCTTTTTCAATCTGCCAAGGTTGTTCTGGACATGGGTGGGTTGAGGGTTGGATACTTCCAGCGGCCACCGAGAAACCAGCACTTGGCATTGTCCACAAAGGGGCAGGAGCAGCCAGAGATGCCAGGAATGCATCTGATCAGTTGTAGGAACAGCAAGCAACTGCTGCTCCAGCAAGCCAACAAGCCAAGGAAATCCAAGGAAGCATGTTGGACACACCCCTTAGCCAAGACATAAACCCCTGCAGATAGAAATCAGAATGCAGTCATTAAATACCTTACAATAAAAACCCACTATTACTAGGAATGATGTTGGGCAAATTTAGAAGAGGGGCAGCACATGGGGAAATCACAGGTGAATATTTTTAAATAATGGCAACTTCCACAAATAAAGCATGCTGTGAACCTAACAGGGAGTCTGGAATTGCAGGCTAAGAGACTGGCACAGGAGGTAGCTAAATCAGTTTCTGGATCCACAATAAAAGCAGCAGAGGTTGGTGCCATGGTTCAACAGTGCTTCCATCTTCAAGTGCTGGCATCACATACAGGTACAGGCTCGTGTTAGATAGGCGCCGGCTGCTCCACTTCCCATCCAGCTGCCTGCTTGTGGCCTGGGAAAGCAGTTGAGGACGGCCCAAAGCCTTGGGACCCTGCACCTGTGTGGGAGACCTGGTGGAAGATCCTGGCTCCTGGCTGAGGATCAACGCAACTCTAGCTGTTGCAGTTATTTGGGAAGTAAACTAGCTGATGGAAGATCTTTCTCCCTGTGTCTCTGTAAACCTTTCAGATACAACTAAATGAATCCTTAAACAGATTAAATAAACGAAAAATTAAAGTGCCAGGGCTTTTACATGGCGTTGTGACACAGTGGTTGAGGCCTCTATTTGTGATGTCAGCCTTACATAGGAGCCCAGGCTAAGAGTCCCCACTGCTCCACTTCCGATCCAGCTTCCTGGTAATGTGTATGGGAAAGTAAAGAAGGATGGTGCAAAACTGTTTTGGGCTCCTGCGCCCGTGTGGGTGACCGGAAGAAGTTCCTAGCTTACAGCTGGCCCAGCTCTAGCTGGGGGTGCCATTTGGGGTGTGAACCAAAGGATAGAAAATATCTTTTTGTAACTGCTTTTGAAATCAGTAACCTCTCGAAAAATTCCTTACGTGGACTCTTTTTTAAGTTTGGTTGAGGCTTCAGGCTTTCTGCACAGGTTGCCACCTCGAGACATTCAAGGATCTCGGCCGCCATGCAGGCAGGGATGGCACCATCCAGAGCCGATGCCATCCGCACCCAAACCTGGGAAACTGCGAGGGCGACGGGCGGGGTCTCCGTCCAGCTTGGAAGGCGGGGTTGGCTGGGACCGCGCGTGCGCGGGAGGCGGGGCCGGCGCGGCCTCGGAAGTCCCGCCTCGCCGAACGTTGCTGCTCCTGTTTCTTGGCGGTTCTGTGGGTCGGAAGTGTCGTTTTGGCGGCTGTTGTGACGTCACTGGTCCGTGTATGGTTGCTACGGGAGCCCTAGCGTAAGTAGAAGTTGGGAATCACTGAGCAGAGAGGGGCGGAGCGCGAGGCTCCCCAGGCTCGAACTGGGGGTACTGGCAGCTGTCCGCCTCCCGCTCGCCCAAACACAGCGCCGGTGAAAGGGAGCTGGACTTCCGGCCGGGAGCGGCGCTCGTCCCGGCTTCGGGGACCCGGCGTCCGGAGCATCCTCGTCCTGAGGTAGAAAGAGGAAGGAGCGAGTTTGGCGCCTCCTCAGCCGCGGGCGGGTCGGCTCATCCCGCGCGCCGCCGCAGCCTCGCAGTCCTACTGCGTCGGCCGACACAAGTTGTCCACTGGTCCCCTTGGCGGGGATGTCGGTCATCCTGCGTGTGCCTGCTGGCCGCAGGACGTGTCTGAAGTTGCTCCTCTCGTCCTTGCTGGCCCAGCGCTGGGCGTCAGACTAAAACGGGACACTGAATTCGGGGTCTCCGTCGTGCAGGGAAAACGCCCCATCGACTCGCCTGCTTGCGAGTCGATTGTGGAGGAGGCCTTGAGGAGCACTGTTAAAAATGGCTGTCCCCCGAGACGGCGTCCCTTCCCTGTCCGAGTGCCAGTGCAGGATCTGCGTGGAAATCCTGATTGAACCCGTGACCCTTCCGTGCAACCACACGCTCTGTAAGCCGTGCTTCCAGGCCACGGTGGAGAAGGCAAATTTGTGCTGTCCCTTCTGTCGCCGCCGAGTCTCTTCATGGGCTCGGTACCATACCCGGAGAAAGACCCTTGTCAATATGGAGCTGTGGGAGATGATTCAGAGACTGTATCCGAAGGAATGCGAGCTCAGAGCTTCCGGACAGGACACGGGAGAAATCGGTGAGTGTGGGCCTGGGGGATGGGGCGGGGTGGATGTTGGAGACCCCAAGGTCGTTTGGTTCATTTCTGGGAGACCTGGCGTTGTATGGAGTGTCAAAGGTGGAGGTCAGGGTCACGCCCCTGCTTGCAGTGCCCGGGCTTGTGGCTGTTAGTGGTCAGGTGCGCGGTGTTGGAAAGGCACCGCGAGCACAGATGGGTACTGCGGCTTCCTGCATTGGTATTCGTTTCACCCCTTTTAATTTCTCCAAACTGAAGCTTCCTTTCCAGTAAACACTAGCTCATTTTTCCTCCAACCCGTAGCAACCATTATTCTACTTCCTGTCCTCATGACTTTGACTGTTCCCAGTGTCTGTGTAGTAGAATATATTTGATCATTTGTTTCTGGCCATTTTGCTTAACATGTCTTCAAGATTGATGCTCACAGTGTGTAACGTGATTCCCACCCCCCTTTTTTAAATTCATTCATTCATTCCCCAGGTAGCTACAATGGCCTGGCTGGGCCAGGCCAAAGCCACAAAACAGGACTTAATGTGGGTCTCCCATATGTGTGGCAGATGGCTTAAGTACTTGGGCTTTTCCAGATGCATTAGGAAGGCACTGAAACAGAAGTGGAGTATCCAAGACTTAAAAGGGCGTTCCATTATGGAATGCTCGGTTAATACAGGATGCCATTGTCCCAGGCAGTGGTTTAACTTGCCATCCCTTCCGTTGCTTTTTAAGACTGAATAATATTCCATCGTATAGGTCTATGTGTGTGATATAGGGAGCCAGGTTGCTGCGTGCATCATGTGTAAGCATGGATTCAGGTTCTGGCTGCTCTGCTTCTGATCCAGCTTCCTGCTAAGGTAACCCAGGAAAGCAGTGGATGGTGGCCTGCACAGCTCAATAGGACGCCTGGATGGAGCTCCTAACTCTTGGCTTCAGTCTGGTCTAGCCCTGGCCATCCAGCCTTTTGTGAAATAAATCAGTAGATGGGAGGTCTTTCCCTCTCTGTATCTCTGTCTTTCAAAAAGTAAATCTTTTAGGGCCTGGCACGGTGGCCTAATGGCTAAAGTTCTCACCTTTAACACACCAGGCTCCCATATGGGAGCTAGTTCTGATCCCAGCGGCCCCACTTCTCATCCAGTTCCCTGTTTATGCCCTGGGAAAGCAATGAGGACAGCCCAGAGCCTTGGGACCCTGCACCCTGGGAGACCCAGAAAAAGCTCCTGGCTCCTGGCTTTGGATCAGCTCAGCTCTGGCCATTGTGGCCGCTTGGAGAGTGAGTCATTGGATGGATGATCTTCCTCTCTGTCTCTCCCCCTCTCTGTATATCTGACCTTGCAATAAAAATAAATAAATCTTTTAAAAATATGTACTATATATTTTTTCTTTTACAGCATTGAAAAAATCCATTATTTCAACAGGGAACATTGGGTTGCTTCTGTCTCTTGGCTATTATGAATAATGCTGCTATGAACTTGGATGTAATGATATCTCACTAAAGTGCTGCTTTCACTTCTTTTGAGTAAAGCCCATAAGTGAACTTTCTAGATCATACAACAATTCTATGTTTATTAGCTTTTTAAGGATTTGTTTATTTTTTGTTGGAAGATCAAAGTTACAGAAAGAGGGAGAAACAGAAAGATCTTTCATCCACTGGTTCACTCTCCAAATGGCTGCAGTGGCCAGAGTTTAGTTGATCTGAAGCTCGGAGCCAGGAGTTTCTTCCAGGTCTCCCATACCGATGCAGGGTACCAAGGCTTTGGGGCATCTTCCACTGCCTTTCCAGGGCACAAGCAGGGAGCTGAATGAGAAATGTAGCCAGGACACGGATCAGCACCCAGATAAGATCCCAGTGCTTGGAAGTGGAAGATTAGATATTGAGCCATTGTGCCTGGGTCCATATGTTTAATTTTTTAAAAAAAGATGTATTTTATATCTCTCCTTCTGTCTATAAATCTGCCTTTCAAATTAAATAAGCAAAAGAGAGATATATTTTATTTATTTGAAAAGCAGGATTAGGGCTTGGCGGCTTAGCAGCTAAAGTTCTCTCCTTGAACGTGCCAGTATCCCATATTGGCACTGGTTTTAACCCCGGCAGCTCCACTTCCCATCCAGCTCCCTGCTTGTGGCCTGGGAAAGTAGTGAGGACGGCCCAAGGCTTTGGGACCCAGCACCCATGTGGGAGACCTGGAAGAGGTTCCTGGCTCCTGGCTTCGGACTGGCATAGCACTGGCCGTTGCGCTCACTTGGGGGAGTGAATCATCAGATGGAAGATCTTCCTCTCTGTCTCTCCTCCTCTCTGTGTATCTGCCTTTCCAATAAATAAATAAATCTTTAAAAAAGAAAAGAAAAGAAAAGCAGGGTTAGAGAGATGCAGAGGGAGACCATCCATCTGCTGATTAATTCCCCAAGTAGCCACAACGACCAAGGATGTACCATAGGGAAGCTAGCAGCCAAGAGTTTCCTCTGGGTCTCCAGTGTGGATGCAGGGGCTAAACGCTTTCCCAAACAGGGAGCTAGATCAGAAGTAGAACAGTTAGGACTGGAACTAGTACCCATATGGAATGCCAGCATTGCAGTGCCAGTCTGTGTTTAACTTTTTAATGAACTTAAGTGATATTTTCCAGTGACTGTGCTATTTTACATTTCCATCAATAGTACACACTTGTTATTTTCTGGCTTCTATGATAATAGCCATTGTAATGAGTATGAGGTTCACTGTAGTTTGATGATTTGCCTTTCCCCAGTGACTAATGGTGTTAAACATCTTTGCATATCTTTTTAGACCATTTTTGTGTCATCTTTTTTAAAAGAAAAAATTAGAATTTTTATTTATTTGAAAGGCAGAGAAGCAAAGAAATTTTCTATCCTTTAGTATGCTCCTGAAATGTGCACAACAGCCAGGACTAGGTCAGGCTGAAGCCAGGAGCCAGGGACTCCACCCAGTCTCTCAGGACGGTAACAATGACCCCAGTACTTGAGCCATCAACCGCTGCTTCCTGTGTTAGGAAGTTGGAATTGGAAGTAGAACTAAGACTTGAACCCAGACTCCTTCAGTGGGGAATATGAGTATGCCCAGTGGTATCTATCTTTATTTGAAAGGCAGAGTTACAGAAAGAGAGCCCTTTCATCAACTCATTCACCCTCAAAATGGCTACAGTGACCAGGGCTGGACCAGACCAAAGCCAGGAGCCAGGAGCATCATCCTGGTCTCCCTATGGGTGCAGCGGCCCAAACATATGGGCCATCTTGTCCTGTTTTCCCAGGAGCATTAGCAGGGAGCTGGATTGGAAGTGGAGCAGTCAGGACTTGAACAGGTGTCCATATGGGATAAAAGTATCCTGATATCTTAACCCATTGCACTACAGCACTCCTTCCACCACCACCACCCCCCTTTTTGTTTGTTTTAATTTTTAAGAATTTGCTTTTATTTGAAACGCAGAGTTAGAGAGAAGGAAAGACAGAGATCTTTGAGTTGCTGGTTCACTCCCCAGATGGTTGCATCGGCTGGAGCTGGGCTGGTGTGAAGGTATGGGAGGGAGGGTGGAGAAAGAAAGAAGTGGTAGGGGAGACAGACAGCTATGCTTTTCATCTGCTGGTTCACTCACAGCTGCCTACAGTTGCCAGGATTAGGATGAGCTAAAGGCTGGAATTAATGAATTAGTACTCAATCCTGATCTCCCACATGGGTGACAGGAACACAGGCACTAGGGCAAAAACCAGCTAGCTGCCTTTGCAGGCACATTGGTAAGAAGTTGGATTGGGAGGCTGGTTTTGTTGTGAATTAAGTAGAACTGCTGTCTGTAATGACAGCATCTCATATGAGTGTTGGTTCCAGTCCTGGCTGTTTCACTTCTGATCCAGCTCCCTGCTAATACTTCTGGGAAAGGAGCAGAAGGTGGACCAACTACTTGGGCTCCTTTCTACCCATATGGGCAAAATGATGAAGCTACTGGCTCCTGGCTTTGGCCTTGCTCAACACTCACTGTTGCCATCATCTGGGGTCATTCAAAAGTTGGATGAGAAATTGGATGGCTCAATTGGCTAACTCCACTTCCAGGATCCTATACGGGCACTGGTTCATGTCTGGCTGCTCTACTTCCCATCCAGCTCCCTGCCTGTGACCTAGGAAAGCAGCAGAGGATGGCACAAAGTGTTGGTAGCCCCACTTCCTTTCCAGCTCCCTGCTTGTGGCCTAGGAAAGCAGTCGAGGACGGCCCAAAGTTTTGGGACTGTGTACCCATGTGGGGGACCCAGAAGAGGCTCCTGGCTTCAGAATGGCTCAGCTCTGATTGTTGCAGCTGCTTGGGGACTAAACCTATGGTTTTTTAAGATCTATTTATTTTTAATTGCAAAGTCAGATATACAGAGAGGAGGAGAGACAGAGAGGAAGATCTTCCTTCCAATGATTCATTTCCAGGTGACCACAACAGCCGGTGCTGAGCCTATCCACAGCCAGGAGCCAGGAGCTTCTTCCCGGTCTCCCACGCGGGTGCAGGGTCCCAAGGCTTTGGGGCGTCCTCAGCTGCTTTTCCCAGGCCACAAGCAGGGAGCTGGATGGGAAGCAGGGCAGGTGGGATTAGGATTAGCGCCCGTATGGGATCCTGGTGTGTTCAAGGCGAGGTCTTTAGCCACTAGGCCACCACACTGGGCCCTCTGGAGCAAGTTTCATGCAATTAACTTGAGCAATGAATGAGGAGGTAAAAAGGGCAAGACCCCAAACTCCTTTTCTGCACTTCCCTGCTATCAGCCCAGGAGCACGTGCTAGCTGTCAACTGATTGGACCCTATCACAGCCATTTTGGCCATCTAGAAAGTTAACCAGTGAATGGAAAATCTTTCTCTAACTTTCAAATAAGTTTATTTTATCCATGTAAAGAAGAGCCAGCATTGTGGTGTATTGGGCAAGGCTACTACCTGCAATGTCAGCATCCCATATGGCTGCTGGTTTGAGCCCCAGCTGCTGCACTTTCAGTTCATCTTTGTGCTAATGGCGTGGGAAAAGCAGTGGAAGATGGCCCAGGTACCTGTACCCCTGTTACCTGTATGAGACACATACAGGAAGCTCCTAACTCCTGGCTTTGGCCTTGCCTTGCCCTGGTTGTTTAGGTCATATGGGAGTCAGCCAGTGGATGAAAGAACTATTATGGGACTTTTTACCTTTTTAATTTTTTTTTTAAGATCTATTTATTTATTGGAATGGCTGGCTGATATACAAAGAGGGATATCTTCCATCCGATGATTCACTCCCCAAGTGATTGCAATGGCTGGAGCTAAGCTAATCTGAAGTCAGGAGCCAGAAGCTTCTTCCAGGTCTCCCATGCAGGTGCAGGTCCCAAGACTTTGGGCTGTCCTTGACTGCTTGCCCAGGCCACAAGCAGGGAGCCAGATGCGAAGTGGGCCTACTGGGATTAGAACCGACACCCTTGTGGGATCTTGGCACATTAAAGACGAGGAGTTCAGCTGCTAGGCCACTGCACCAGGCCACCAAAATGCCATCTTACTGTGTTTAAAGATTCAGCTCAGTGGCATTATGTACATTGACATTGTGTAACTGTCACCAACACCATCCATCTCTGAACTTTTTTTCTCCTCATTCTCATTTTCTCTCATTGACTTCCTGTTTTGCTGAAATTGGTTAAAATTTGATTTTATTTGATTGATTTCCTCTCCTAATCTATGTTGCTATGGGAATGCATTCTTTTGAAAATATTTTTGTTGTTATTTTAGTGGAGTTTAGAGGAAGGGTTAGATACGTGAATTTGTATGCTATTTTAAAACAAACAAAAAGACTTTTCAAAGATTTATTTTTATTTGAAAGGCAGAATTACATAGAGAAGGAAAGACAAAGAAATCTATTTTGGATTCATTCCCTAAATAGCCATAACTGTTGGAGCTAAATTAATCCAAAGTTAGAGCCAGCAACTTCTGGGGCTCCCAGATGTATATAGGGGCCCAAGAATTTGGACCATTCTCTGCTGACTTCCCAAGCCGTAAACAGGGAGTTTTGGATCGATGTAGAGCAGGCAGCTAGCACCCATATGCAATCACAGACAGAAGCTTTATATGCTGTGCCTCTGTCCTGTCCCAGTCTCTTTTTTTTTCTTAAGATTTATTTATTTTTATTTGAAATATAGATTTACAGAGAGAGGAGAGACAGAGAAGCTTTCCATCTGCTGGTTCAAACCCCAAATGGCAGTAACAGCTGGAGCTTGGCCAGTCCAGTCAGTAGATTGGATCCTTCTCAGGGTCTCCCAAATGGGTGCAGAGGCCCAAGGACTTGGGCCGTTGTTTGCTGCTTCTCCAGGTCATAAACAGGAAGTGGATTGGAAGTGAAGCAGCCTGCACTTAAACCCATTTGGGATGTCTGTACCGCAGGCAGAGGCTTAACCTGCTATGCTATGACATCTGACTTTTTCATTGAAATTTAAATTTTACAATTTAGCTCTGACATAGTAATGAATATAACTTTGGAAGATAAAGATTGGTCATAAAAATCTGTAGTGCCTAAAATATTTTCCTTTTTTGATGTGAAACAGCTGAAGACTATCAGCCAGTTCGTCTGATAAGTAAGCCTGGGGAATTGAGAAAAGAATATGAAGAAGAGATAAGCAAGGTAAGGTTTTGCATTGTTGTCTCTGGAGGGAAGTTTTTTCCTGCTCTATTTTCAGTTTCAGGTTTTACATAGAATTTTTTTTTGTTTACATAGAGTTCTATGTGCCGATATAACTAGTATATATTGAAATTTAAGTAATATTGCATGCTTTTGTAAAGGCTCAATTATGTGTTTGAATTAGTTATGAACTATAATTGATATAATTAGTACTGCTTTGTAATAGTGATTAAGCATTTAAGGATAAGGGGGTTTCATTTCTCCGAGGTTTTGAGCTTCAAGGATGGAGACAGTGATGGATGTAACGTTAGATGAGGCATATGGAAAGGACTAATTGGGAAGGACCTACATAGAAAAAGGAGCATTGCTGACAGGGTAGCCTTCACACTTGTTCAACACAACCCTAGAGAAACCCTAGCAGTACCCCCACACGCCTGCTTTGTGTAAAGCAGCATGACAAACACAACATGACCGCATCTGTAGCTTAAATTGTTCTAATAGTCACATTTAAAATATAATATTATGCTTAACCCAGTATCTCTAAAAATGCAGTGTTACTTACATAATTATTGGGAAAGTGATGTAATCTGCACATTATGCGGATAAATCCCCGTTTCAATGATAGGCCCTTATCATTCCTGGGCACTTTAATCATTTGAGAGGGTGCAGGAAGTTAGGGGTACCTCAGTAAGAACATGGCATTCTATTACCTGAGAATGTTTTACCAAGAAAGCCTCAAACAAATGTATGGCATTGTAGTGTAGTGACTGAAGGAAGGACAGGTGAGAAGAGGGCTATAGTCAAGGCTTGGGCTGACCCCAAGGACTGCTTTCCCACAGCCTTTCTAGATCTCTACCTTGTTTGGGGGTAGATTTCTACCAACCTGTGTTCTTTTACTATTTTTTTTTTTTAATTTACTCACTTTTGTTGGAAAGGCAGATATACAGAGAGGAGGAGAGACAGAGAGGAAGCTATTCTGTCTGTTGATTCGCTCCCCAAGTAGCCATAATGGTCCGAGCCTAGCCAATCCAAAGCCAGAAGCCAGGAGCTTCCTCTGGGTCTCCCATGTAAGTGCAGGGTCCCAAGGCTTTGGGCCATCCTCAACTGCTTTCCCAGGCCACAATCAGGAAGCTGGATGGAAAGCGGGGAAACTGGGATTAAAACCAGTGCCCACATGGGATCCCGAAACATGCAAGTTGAGGACATTAGCTGCTAGGCTACTGTGCACTGGGCCCTCTTGAACTATTAGGATATATTGCAGGCTTGTTGAAAATTCAAAGAAGTATTGTTTATTAATCCTTATTAAGGTGGAAGCAGAGCGACGAGCGAATGTGGAGGAAGAAAACAAAGCCAGTGAAGAGTACATACAGAGATTATTAGCTGAGGAGGAGGAGGAAGAAAAGAAACAAGCAGAAAAAAGGCGAAATGAGATGGAAGAACAACTGAGAAATGACGAGCAACTGGCAAGAAGACTAAGCATTGATATTGTAAGTGTTAGGAGAGGACTTAAAGCTGCTCTTTATGTGTTATAATTACTAGCCTATTCAAATTTCATAGAGAAACTGTTCAGTGAAAAATGAAAGCTTCCTTTCTCCCCATTTCTGCTTCTCTATTCTCATTCCTGTTGCATTATGTTAGTCTCTGTACAAGGTAACTATTGTTACCCATTTCTTACAACTTTTCTCCCCTATTCACCTGGAAAGGATTATATCATATCACTTGCCCCTTGAGTTTTCTTACTTATAAATTCGAGTCTTTTTATGTAGACAGCACGTAGTCTGATTCTTTAAGAGTAGACTACTGTTTCATTGTATAGCTGTAAATCACTTTTTAAAAATTTTATTGCATTTTTGACATTCTTTATATAGTTAATTAGGGCAAAAAGGATCAAGAGCTATAGGAAAGTAGGCAGGACTATCATTTCCACATATTTTTTTTCTATATCTAGGGTAAAGAGGGAGATAAAGGGAGAAGTCCCACCCAGTCTCCCACCCATTCCAGATCCCCAATATGGAACATGCTCAGGGTCTTGCTCAAGTGGTCTTGATAGTTCAACAGTTATGAATTGCTTCCAATCTCGGCAGTCCAAGCACAATAAGGTCGCTGAAGAAACCACTGATTGACATAGTCCATCTTAGAGTCTCTATCTGCCCAATTTTCCACTGCCAGCATATGGCTGAGGTAGTTGACTGACTTGTTCTGCCCTCTGTCCTTTTATGGTTATGGTTCTGAGTCTGGCATTTCGACTGGGGAGATCCCCAAAGAAACTTTGAGGTGTTCCCAGACCAGATTCTTGTGTGTACTTGGAATTGCAGGGCCTGGTACAGTCCATCACCCCAAGCAGCTGGTGGTTGCAATTGCTGGGTCTATTCTGATTCCAGCCCTGACTTCCACTGGAAACAATGGGTGTTGCAGTCTAGCCTGATTCTGCCCAGCACACACTCGGCCCTCACATAAACCAGTGGGAGCTGCAACCTAGTCAGAGTGATCAACAATAACCCCACCAGGCCTGCCCCCTACCCTAGTTCCCATGCTTGCCATTATGTACAGCAGACTAGTCCAGTCTGTCCCACATCCCATTCAGCTCTCATACATATCAGTGGGCATTGAAGCCTAGTTCAACCCAACCAGCTCTACTATCCAACCCGCACACATGCTATTGGGTGCCCTTCGTGTAGCCACCACTGTCCCTGTCCTGGTTTTTGTGCCCTCTGGTGGGTGTGGTAATCCAAGAGGGAGGAGCCCACTGTTTCCCTTCTAGGCCACTCACTCCCGGATTATGCACTCTCCAGGTGGTTCTGCAGTGTAACTTGACAGAATTAGCCCCCAGTGCCAGCTTCTGCCAGCTGATGCTGCAGCTAAGCCCAAACAACCCTCACCCACTCTAATTTTTGTTTGCACCAGGAGGAACAATCAGCCCAGCCTGGCTTTTCCCTGATCTAGGCCACATGAGGCCCACAGGTTTTGTAGCCCTGCCTAGTCTAGTCTGCCCCCATCCCAGCTTATGCTCTCCAGTTGGAGTAGCTGTCCAGTAGGGAGTGCCCCCCCCACATTTTCCCTGCTGGCTTCACACCCTCCCTCCTTGGTTCTCAGCAGTGCTGGTTGGGCACTGCAGCCACATCTTGTACAGGTCACCTCACCTGGACATTCTGTAATGTGCGATGGTTTTTGTCGCGATCAAACCTGGCTCGACCCACACTCTGTTCTGGTGCTCAGATTTGCCAGTGGGTGATGTGAACTGGTTCAACCTGGTCTGCCCCCAACCCATGCCCAAATGTATGCCTGTGGAAAACTTCCCATGGCCTGTTCTGGGCTGTTTCCTATTATGTTTCTTGCGCTTACCTGTAGGGATTGTGTCCTGCCAGAGGAGTTGCCCAGGCTCCTCCATCAGAACCTCTCCCAATGCCAGATTTCACGCATACCAGTGAGGTCCATGAGCCAGCCCTACTCAGTTCACATTCTGTTCTTGTAGGAACAGTGGCTTTTCCTGACTGGCTTTCAACCCAATCTGGCTCTTACTGTTGGATATTTCAGCCCAGCCTCGTATATACCCACATACTGCTCACACATGGCTCAGAAGCGGCTGAGACCTAGCCTATTCCGTCCCACATCTACCCTGGTCTTCCAGAGCACCAGTTGGTGTGGAGTCTAGCCTGGCTTGGTGCGTCCAGTTCAGGCCACACTTGTGCCAAGAGAGACTATAGCCATATCCTGATCAGGACGCAGCCCCCATCCCAGTTCCCGCGTTCCTTGTTGCGAATCTCAACCCAGCTATGGTGTCCCCAAAGCTCCCCAATCAGGCCTGATCCCAGCCATCTATTATGCACATGCCAGTGGTTGCTCTGACTCAGCTTGGCACAGCCCCTTACCTGTCCCAGCTCCTGCCCTAGATGCTATGGCTTCGCGTCCCTGGCTCACGCAGATCAGTAGGTGCAAGAGCGTAGCTTGGTATGACCTTTCCCCATCCTGATTTCTGATTTTGCTTGTGGGCTAAGGTTTGCTCAGTACTGCCTGGTCCACCCCATCCCATTACCAACCCACACATTAGCTAGCCATTGGAGCTACTTAGCCCAGCTTGTCTGACCCCCAGGTCTGGACCGTGTGTTCACCAGCAGGAGTTATGACCCGCCAGGGGAGTTTCCCAAGTTTTTCCACTTGATCCACTCCCAGGCCCAGTTCTCATACATGCCAGTGTCAGTCTTAGTCTCACCTTCCATTTGGCTTTGTATGAGCTGGTGAACGTTGCAGCCAGCCTAGCCTGGCCCACACCGTATTTAGGATGCACATTTGGGTGCTGCTGCCTTGACCAGTCCAGACTGTTGTCGGGTCCTTTACTTGTGAGTGATGGCAGGTTCTGTGGTCACACCTAGCTTAGTCCATTACCACCCCAACTTTTGAGCTAACTAATGGGACTAGTATTTCCACAGGGTTTGACCCACATATCCCCCACTGAATCTACCTCTGGATATGGTTCTCTCGTGTGCTAGTTAATGTCATACCCCTGCCTAATGAGACCCATCTCCTGATCCATCATTATGTCAGGTAATTGGATATGATCCTGCTGGGCAAGCCCCAAGCTTTAGCTTTTGCATGGACTGGTGTTTGGTAGTCATCATTTTCAGTGATTACAAGTTCTATACAGGATTGATAGGAGGTTGGTATATCAGACTTTTCCATAAAGATCATCTGGTCCTTCTCAAACCTACAAGGTCTCATTACCCTCGCTTACCTTCAAAGGAAAAGTTACTCTGTCATTGGGAGTCTTTAGGATTGATTGACATCCCAGAAGTACAGCGGGCTTAACATGGAGCTACCTAAACAGCAATTCAAAGCCCCAAAATCCCAGAGCTGGCCACCCAGGGACAGGTGTCAGCATGTACACGGTGGCTGGAATTGGGGCTCTGAGCATGGAGACAATCCTGGCCTGGCACCCACCAGCAGCCAACAGGCTGCTGCAAGTTTTAATCCCCAGACTCCAAGATTGTCCCCTCCCCAATCCCATCTACAACGCAATGATGGCAGCGGGTGGGGCCCAGGTCCACCTAGCTCTCCAGACTTCCCCCTTCGGTGTACTCACCATGAAGGGAGCCACCTCTGGAGTTCAGGCAGGTCCAGGGACAGGTCACTGTGTGTACGCGGTGGCTAGAATTGTGGCTCTGAGCATGGAGATGATCCTGGCCTGGCACCCACCAGCAGTCATCAGCGTAAATCACTTTTTGAAAGTAAAACAAATATTCTTCATTATTATCTTATCAACTTGCTATAAATTACAGCCTATAAGAAAATGAATTGAATGTTGATAAAATACATATTTTTATTAATATAGTATTACATACTTGCTCTAATCAGATTATTTAAAAATATTTTTTAAAATATTATTAGTATGTAGGGAATTATGTAGGGAAACTTATCAAGTGAAAAAATGAAAATTTCTTTTCTCCCATTCTACCTCTTTGCTCTTCCTCCTATCCATTACTTTGGTCTCTTGGATTTTATTGTCTTGCTGTGGTTAAATTACTGCCTATCAGAAAAGGAATGAAAGGATAATAAAACATTCAGTAAGACCAAAGGGTATGGGTGGAACCTAGTAATTCAGAGAGCCTGGCAGAATTACCAAGGTTATTTTAAAACACAGTCTCATACCTGTTCTAAATCTACCGATTTAATAGTGTCTGGAGGGAAAATGGAGTCTGTCTATGTAAGTCTTAGAAGTGCAGGTTTAAAGGCCTCTGATAACAATTCCTTTTTTTCAAACAATAAATATCTTTAAAAGTATACTTATCAAAATGAGACATACTGAGATTTGGCAGCATTTTTTTCTCTTTCTGAAAGGGCTGCAATTCACAAAAATGTTTCTAAGTTTTAGATTGTAGGTCCTATAAAATTTTAATAGAACAACTTTAGGAAGATACCCAGTCAGGAAATTAAAGATTTGTAACAGTGGAGCAGAAAGGTAAATATGTGGAGAGGACAATTTGCAGTCACGTACATGTGCCTCTCTTTCAGGTGTCTATGATTTTAAGCCTTCTGGTTTTTCACATGTGGTTACAGAGTATGTTTATTGGTATTTTGTAGTAAGTTTTGGTTTACTTTGAAAGTGTGGTCCACAGCCACATATTCACTATCACAGATTATATGACTTTTCCCACTAAGGTGGTAAGAAACTTCTGAGACTGATAGCACAAGTAAGTATTTGTAATATTTGTTGTTATACCCTTAAAACCTAGAATCAATTATGAAACTAAATTTCATTCCTGGTATATCCAAAACCCTTTTGAGTTTTTGCCTATTGCTCAATAGTCATTTCCATAATCTTATGAAAACATATTTAGAAAAAAATAATCATCCACATAAGATGCATAGCTGACCACACCATAGACCTACTGGTCCCTGGCCACCATGCATAAGCCAGGGCTGAGGGTGGGCCTGGAAGGGACCCTTAGGGGGTCTTCCTGCTTAGGCTGCAGCACCTCATGATACAAATAAGGACTGGGACAAGATGGGTAGCAGCACCCACAGGTGCTCTTGAGAGCTGGATCTGGTGGTGGGCCTGAAAAAGGTTCTCAGGGGTCTCCTGACTAGGGTGCAGCACCCATTGGTGTAAGAAAGCTGGATCTGCAGATATGCTGGACCAATCTGCAATACCTGCTGATATACACTGGTGCCAAGTCTGTGCGCAGGCTGGGTTGGGATTCTTAGGAGTCCTTGACCAAGCTGTAGCAGCTTCTGGCACAAAAAGCTGGGTTTGGGGGTATACTGGGCTGGGCTGTGGCAACCAATGGCACACATTGAAAGACGTGTCTGGGAACCAACTCAGCAGGGGCTGTTAGGAATCAGCTCAATGGGTCTACTCCATCTAATCTCCACCCTCATGAAACAGCACATGAAAGTCTAATCTAGCCTCCAAGCATATGTTGTGGAACTGGACCGACCCTGTGTCTGATTCCGTATAAGGAGACAACATACTGGGATATACACAAAAGATAGGACAGCCAGCCTCTGTGAGTCAGCAGAGAACCTTGAGTGCCTCAAGAAAAAATGGAAAAAAATGGCAGGCTGAACAACTACAAACTAAATTCTCTACCTAGCATCTGAGGTCATGGACATACCGAAACAAACATAAACAGCCAGCAAGTGTGGAAAGTGGTATCTCACACCTGGAACGACAAAGCCAACACCGTATTAGAACAATCGACTAAAGTAACAACCTCAGGACATTCTTCCCTCTTCAGGGTCCCTGAGATGATAGCAGAGGCCTTCTCTGTGCCCTGATGCTGATGTGATCTGGCAGCAAAGAGCAGTGCAACGTTTCCTCTGCCTTCCCCCACCAGTCACAGGAGGGCGGGCAGGGTCTCTTCCCTTACCCTCTTCCTCTCTCCATCCCTCCCCATCCCACTCAGAGACCTGCATGGGTCTGTGGTATCCCTCACCTATGTGTCAAACATTTAAAATTAAATTTATCAGCCAAAGAAATATAATTGGCACCATTTATGTGCTTTGTAGTGTACAATGAAAATGTAGTTAATTAAGACCACTTTGGATAGACTTAATTCTGTTTATATATTCATCTGTCAGTATCCGTAGAGGGTTTGGTTCCAGGAGTTCCTGCATATGCCAAAGTGTGTGGATACTCAAAGTCCTTATATAAAGGGTGTATTATTTGCCCATACCTTTAACTCATCTCTAAATCAGGACAGGTACTTGTCACTGTTTAAGGGCCTCGTAAGGCAACTGCATCTGTTGATCCAGCTTCCTGCTAGTGTATACTCTGGGAGGCAGCGTGATTGGTACTATTTTGGTCCCTGTCTTTCATGTGGGCCTGTATTGAATTCTAGGCTCTTGGCTTAAGCCTGGGCCAATACTGGCCATTGCAAGTGTATTGTTTAGAATACCTAATTCAATCTAAATATTTGTTATAGTATTGCTTAGGAATTAATGACAAGAAAAGAGAGTATATGTTCAAAACAGATCATCTTTTAGCCACATATTTTAAAAATATTTTTGAACTATTGATGTATGAATCTGGTGCAAATCCCATAAACATGGTAGATTGACAGTACTGAAGTTTACATGGTGAGTATTATTCAATGGATGTGTAGAATTTAAGTATTGGTGTAATTCCTAAGAAACATTCCGAATGCTGTATTAATCTGTTGTTGTTGTTGTTGTTGTTGAAGAATAATTCCTCTGAAGGAAGTATCTTGGCTTCTCCGCTGGATTCCAGAAAATCTGATTCGGTAACAACCAAGTCACAAAAGAAAAATAACAATAAACAGAGATACACAGGAAATATTCAAAAGTAAGTGATTGTAACAATAACCTTTTATGTCTATGTACCCAGTACTTTTTTTCTTCATAAACATGAGTTTTGTTTGAGAGCTCTACATGAAAGCCCTCAACAGGCTAGTAATGTGGTACAGCACGTTAAGCCAGCACTTGCATCCCATATCAAAGCACCCATTTGAGATCCTGCTGCTCCATGTCTGATCTAGCTCCCTGCTAGAAAAACTGTGGAAAATATCCCTAGGAAAGCAGTGGATAATGGCCCCAAGTAGTTCTGCCCTGCCACTCATGTGGGAGAAATATGAAACAAAAAGAAAACTTTGTTGTCCAGCAGTGAGGGGACTTGGTGCACAGAGCCAATAATTACATGGTTAATAGCCAGAGTTTATTAACAGCAAAAGGCTTTTAAAAGACTGCAGGTCACATAGGCAAAAGGAGGGAGGGTTTGAGGCAGGATGTGATTTGCATGTGATTTTGCATGCAGGGGAGGTCTGTCAGTGAGCAATGTGTTTTTCTAGCGGTTTATTAATAATTAAACAGCGTACACATACTTAAAAAAACACTCCACTTTGATCTTTTACTGAAGCTGAAGGATCAGGGAGTTGAGTTCCTACACCCGCGTTTTCCTGCTCTGGATGCCTCAGGACCTTTGCCCTGAGTTCCGGAGCTTCCTTGCAGTGTTGCAGTGTTACAGCTGGTTATGATTTTACACCAGCAAGGTTCCTCATTATCCTTTCCCAATCAATTGTCTTCCTACAAAGGAGTTCCTGTGCCTGTGTTTCCCCATTTCAAATGCTTCAGGGCCTTTACCCTGAAGTCTCGGAGATTTCTCACAAAATTACAGTTGGTTACAGTTTTACACTAGCTAGGTTCCCATCCTCCTACAGAAAACCCTCAAGATAATCTGATATTTATATAAGATGAAGAGAGACTTGAAATCTCGTCTGTATTTACCAGCCAGTTAATTTGGGCAGATTTGTGCTTTTTATCTTGCTTCCTCAGAGTTTCAGGTTATTACCATTTATCCAAATGAACAGGTTGAATTCCTCCTAATTCTCTTGGTTTAAACTCCAGCAGCGAGAAAAGCTGCTCCCACATAAGCTCTTCATTGTAGGAGCTTACAGTTTGACATGTAGGTCATTCTCCCTCCTTCCCTTTTCCCATCAGTTCAAGATAAATGGTGGTGGAGTAATTTACTCCCCCCCCCCCCAGATTCCTTCAGCAGCGAATAGAGCTGATAGCTTAATGAGTATAGAAACTTTCCCATAGTATTTCAAGTTGGAAAAGTTTAACATAACATAGAAATGTCCGCGGGGCCCGGGACAGTGTCCTAGCGGCTAAAGTCCTTGCCTTGAACGTGCCGGAATCCCGTGTGGGTGCTGCTTCGCATCCATCTCCCTGTTTGTGGCCTGGGAAAGCAGTTGAGGATGGCCCAAAATCTTGGGACCCTGTACCCGCATGGGAGACCTGAAAGAGGCTCTAGGTTCCTGGGTTCTGATCGGCTCAGCTCCAGCCATTGCGGCTGTTGGGGAGTGAACCATGGGACAGAAGATCTTCCTGTCTCTCCTCCTCTCTGTATATCTGACTTTGCAATAAAAATAAATCTTTTGAAATAAAGAAGAAATGTCCATAACATAGTAACATAAGAAACATCTAAGGGCTACTTAGTTCAACTGATTAAGGATATGCAGATAATTCACTTGCTTCCAGAGTTTGGATTTGGGGTCTGGCAGTGCAGTAAAAATAGACAGTTGATAATAAAATGTAAAAAAAAAATACATGTGGTGATATTTTTAAAAAAGATTGGTTTCGGGCCCGACGTGACAGCGCAAGTGGTTAAAGTCCTCGTCTTACTCGCCCAGGATCCCATATGGTTGCTGGTTGTAATCCAGGTGGCCCTGCTTCCCATCCAACTCCCTGCCTGTGGCCTGGGAAAGCAGTCCAGGACAGCCCAAAGGCTTGGGACCTTAAACCCACTTGGGAGACCCAGAATTGCTCCTGGCTCCTGGCTTCGGATGGCTCAGCTCCAGCTGTTGCGCTCACTTGGGAGAGTGAACCATCGGACGGAAGGTCTTCCTCTCTGTCTCGCCTCCTCTCTGAATATCCGCCTTTCAATAAAAATAAATAAATCTTTTAAAAAAAGATTGATTTCATTTATTTGAAAGGCAAAATTACAGGGATAGAAGGAGAGATAGATCTCCCCTCTACTAGTAAGTAGACTCCAAATGACCACAATGGCCAGGGCTAAGCAAGGACAAAAACAGGAACTAGGAACTCTCTCCCCTCATTAATGCTGATGACATGTAGAGTTCAACAAAGGAGGGAAAGCATAAGTATTTCATATTGATGGGTGTTTTTTGTTTTTTGGGTTTTTTTGTTTTTTGTTTGTTTTGTTTTTTTGTTAAGAATGTAGCTCACGGGGCCAAGTACAGTGGCTCAACAGGCTCTTCATCCACCTGCAGCACCAGCATCCCTTACATGTGTGTTATAATCCCAACTGATCTAGTTTCTGATCCAGCTCCCTACTGAAAAGCAGTGTAGGATGGCGCAAGGCCTTGGGCCCCTGCACCCATGTGGGAGACCCAGAAGAAGCTCCTGGCTCCTGGTTTTGGACTAGCCCAGCTCTGGCCATTATGACTATTTGGGGGAGTGAACCAGTAGATGGAAGATCTCTGTCTCCCTCTCTTTGTAACTGTGACTTTCAAGTAAAAAAATCAATAAATCTTAACTCATCAGTCTTTTTTCGTCTTTATCTATTTGAGAAGCATAGAAACTGCCTGCTGATTCACTCCCCAAATGCCTGAAATGACGAGGGCCAGCTGGGAGCTGAGAATTCAGTCCAAATGTTCTACATGGTGACAGGGACCCAGCTACTTGAGCCATTACCAGTTTATTTCACAGCCTCTAACTAGCAGAGAGCTGGAACTAGACATCAAACCCAATTGTCCAGCATGAGACATGGGTATTTTAACAGGGTTATTATCTGCCTTTTGAGCATTTACATACCTAAATTATGTATTTTGAAATATGTGAAGATAAGTAATTACTAGAAATGTAAGGGCAAACTGATAGATTTAGAAAAAAAATCATTGGGAAATCCGAATTAAAATTATAAGAAAACAACAGATAAAACCTAGTCTGTAGAACATTTTTAAAAGTTCTATTAACGCGACAACTAAAGACAAAGCAGTTTTAAAATGGGAAGAATAGTAGACATCTGATGCAGCACTGAAGTCACTACTGGGGATGTCCATATCCAGTATTGGGATTCTGCTTCATCTTATCCCCACTTCTTTTTTTTAAGATTTATTTATATTTATTTTTGTAAACAGATTTTACAGAGAGAGAAAGTCTTCCATTCACAAATGGCTATAATAGTCTGAGCTGAACTGATCTAAAACTGGGAGCCAGGACCTTCTTCAGGGTCTCCCATGTGGTTGCAAGGGCCCAGGCATTTGGGCCATCTTCCACTGCTTTTCCCTACTCTTTGGAAAATCAACCAGTTACCATCCCTTGAAGACAACCAGTAGTTTTGGGAGATTTCTGCCATTTAATAGCACTATTTTTGTATGTTTAAATATTTTAGTGTTTAAAATATGAGCATTCTTATCATATTGTAATGTACCTTTTATTCCTACCTCTTCTCTAGTGTTTTCCATTTTGTTACAGATTTCAAACTTTGAGGAGCAAATAGCCTACTAAAAATTCTTAAAATTTATAGATATATGCTGTTAATGTGATATACTGCTATATATATATATATATATATGTATTTTTTTTTAAGCAGATGATTGATACTGTAAGCATATGGAATAAAACATCCATGCTTCCGTGGTAAAACATCTATCTGATCATAGTCATAGACTGGTTTTGTTTGTTTTTCATAGACCGTTTTCTAATAGTAAAGACAAATTTTAAATAGGCCACATTTCTGGCAGAGAAAAGAACTAACTTTCTACTATCTTAAAAATGTCATTTCCATTATTTTTAGGAGGACTATAAATTTTTGCATTGTTCTGATACTGTCTTCCTTTTGAAATTCTTTGAAGAATTAATAAATATTTAGATTGTATTTTTTTACTTTTCTTTTTCTCACTAACGTATCAGTATTTACCCTTTAAATTTATTTACCCTTAAATTAAACCAAAATGAAATGAGATGAAATACACTGTGATACATTTGCCAAGCAAAAAAAACAGACAATCTCACACATCAGTTTTTCTGATTATATTATTTTGAATATGTACCACCTTTCTTTCAAAACACTCACATTTTTTTCTCCTTTCTCCTTTTAAAGATATTTGTCACCTAAATCTCAATTAAAGTCAGCATCATGGTCTGAAGTTATTCAAGAAATCAGGAAAAACTCCACATTCAAGGTATGTTGATGTGAAGGTGTTCCTAATAGGCAAGTTTCTTAAAGTCATAGGAGTCAGTGAAACAACTTTCTTAGTCATCTTAGGCTCACTTAAACTACAGGTCAGTAAGGCTTGCCTTTTAAGGCTCAATAGTGCTACCCTGTAACCGAGCTCTTGGCTCTGCCGTTGTAGTACAGGAGATCCACAGATGTCAGGTAGACAAAGGAGCTTTTCCGTGTTTGATAAAGCTTAGTTTATAGAAGCAAACAGCAGGTTGGATTTGGTCCATGGACCATACTTTGCTGATGCCTGACATGACTATTCAAACCAGAAAGACTATGTTACACCTAGCACCAGCCCCTCACAGAGGATACGGAGTGAGAGAGAGCTCCTAGGTGGAGACCTAGAAACTGTACTGCACCAACAAGCACTGAGACTACATGCCATGCAAGAATCTGCAAGTGTAGGAACCCATAGGCGTAGCTTCTGGCGTGGGGGGTGGGAGGGTCCTGGAAAGTCAGGAAAGCTGCAAGTCATTTCAGAAGACCATCTTTGCCTTTGTAAGATACTCCTAGTCATGGCACAGATGCAGGCATCTTTCCTGTAACCTGTGTAGCCTGACATTCTGTCTTTGTCAGGTTTCCAGGAAAACAGCTAAGAAAGGGAAACTTGATTCTAAGGTCAATTTCCTGAAGTCAGTTTTGTTAAGCATTTACCCAAGGATTTCTAACATTTTTTCTTTTGTTTATTTCAGTTAAGTTGTTTTATGGTGCCTAATGTTATTTTTAAAAATGTACATATTTGGGCCCGGCGGCATGGCCTAGCGGCTCACCTTGAACGTGCCAGGATCCCATATGGGTGCCAGTTCTAATCCCGGCAGCTCCACTTCCCATCCAGCTCCCTGCTTGTGGCCTGGGAAAGCAGTTTAGGACGGCCCAAAGCCTAGGGACCCTGCACCCGTGCAGGAAATCTGGAAGAGGTTCTGGTTCCCAGCTTCAGACTGGCGCAGTACCAGCTGTTGTGCTCACTTGGGGAGTGAATCATCAGATGGAAGATCTTCCTCTCTGTCTCTCCTCCTCTCTGTATATCTGACTTTGTAATGAAAATAAAATAAATATTTTTTTAAAATGTACATATTTGAAAGAAAGGGATAGAGGACCGGCCCAGTAGCCTAGTACTTAAAGTCCTCACCTTGCACACACCAGGATCCCATATGGGCGCATTTGTGTTCCAGCAGCCCTGCTTCGCATTCAGCTCCCTGTTTGTGGCCTGGGAAGGCAGTAAAGGACGGCCCAAAGTCTTGGAACTCTGCACCCACATAGGAGGCCCACAAGAAGCTCCTGGTTCCTGGCTTTGGTTTGGCTCAGCCCCAGTTGTGGCTACTTGGGGAGTGAATCAGCAGATGGAAGATCTTCCTCTCTGTCTCTGCTTCTCTCTGTATATCTGCCTTTCCAATGAAAATAAATAAATCTTGAAAAAAAGGAAAGACGTATATCTTCCAAACTGTTAGTTCACTCACCATCTACAAATATCAGCACTGGGCTGAGCTGAAGTCAGGAGCAGAAATTCCACCCAATTTTCCCATATGGGTGTCAGAAACACATTTACTTGAGCTGGAACCATAGTTTCCCAGGATGCTCGTTAGCAAGAGCTGCAGTCAAGAGCCAGAGCCAGGTATTAAATTCAGGCACGTTGTTTTTCTTAAGATTAATTATTGGAAAGTCAGATTTACAGAGAGGAAAGACAAGATCTTCTGTCCATTGGTCTGCTCCCCAAGTGGCCACAGTGGCCAGAGCTGAGCGAGTCTGAAGCCAGTCTCCTACTTGGGTACAGGGTCCCAAGGCTTTGGGCTGTCTTGAACTGTTTTCCCAGGCCACAGGCAGGAAACTGGATAGGAAGTGGAGCAGCTGGGATTAGATCCGGCACTCATATGGGATCCCTCAGATACAAGATGCAGATTTAGCCATTGGGCTATTGTGCTGGGCCCCAATCCAGACACTTTAATGTGAGATGTTAATATCTTATCAGGCATCCTAGCTGCTGGGCTAAACTGACACTAACACCTATAATTTAGGTTTACTGTATAATGCAGTAGTCTAGATTATTTTGTTTCATTTTTATTATGATCCGCAACTCTGCAAGACAGTTACCCTTGTGCCCATTTTATAGTTTAAAAAACCTGAGGTCCAGGGTTTGAAGAGACTTGCCCCCCGTCCCTCAAGTAGTTAATCCAGAGACTTCCAGTCCAGGTAGTCTAGCTCATATTGGAACTGAGTGTAGGTACAACAGCCATTGTAGGGCTAACATATGTTTCTGCTTGTTGTCCGGCAGCTATGGTCTTGGTGCACAGAGCTGATAATCACCTTTGAACTACTCACTGATGTTCAACAACCAAAGGTTATTAGTGGCCTCAGGCTTTTATAGACTGAGGATCACATAGAATAAAAGAGTAGACTTTGATGAGTTTACATATCAACAACAGGTAGTTGAGTTGAGATTATGGGAATTGCTCTAAGTCCTCACCTTGCACACACCAGGATCCCGTTTGGGTGCTGGTTTATGTCCCAGCTGCTCCACTTTCCATCCTGTGGCCTGGGAAAGCAGTTGAGGATGACCCAAAACCTTGGGAACCCTGCACCTCCGTGGGAGACCTGGAAGAGACCAGGCTCCTGGCTTCGAATTTGTTCAGCTCCAGCTGTTGTGACCACTTGGGGAGTGAACCAGCAGACAGAAAATCTTTCTCTGTATACCTCCCTCTCTCTATATATCTGCCTTTTCAAAAAAAATAAATAAATCTTAAAAAGAAAAATTGGATATTTTTCTGACTTCTAATTTTATTGTTTCTTTTACATATGAATTTAGACAGTAAACAGTGATAGTTAGTTAATATTACCTCAAAGTATTTTCACATTACATTGTATTTGTTGTTGATCTCTAAAAATACCATCTGTTATCATACCCGTACTATGAGTTATGAAGCTGTTTGATCTTATTTGTGATATTAATAGATAAAAATTTTAAAAATCATTTTAATAATTGATATAATATAAATTATTGCCCTGTAAGGCCATGTATCCTAATTTTTGCATGTAAAAATAATTCTCAGAAAAGGCCTAGGAGTGTCCTAAAATGGTTAAAGGTGGATCCAGCACCAAAAGAGATTTAGACCTCCTGGGCTGGAAGACATTTATAAGGTGGCACAGAGGTCTGGTCCCGATGCCAGCTGTTTTCCATATGTAACATGTGGTTTGTAGATTTTCATCCAGATGCTGATATGAGAGTAAAACAGAAATACCTTCATTTAAATTGGCACACAAAATAATGCTAAGAATCAATGTGCTTTATTGGTAATACTAACAATATATATTGTTAGTGCAGATATGGTCACAGTTATAAGTAAGCTTTTTTAAGATTTACTCATTTTTATAGGAAAAGCAGAGTTACAAAGGCAGAAGAAGGAGAGAAAGGTTCTATCTGCAGGTTCAATTTCCAAATAGCCAGTCCAAAAAGCCAGAAGCTAGGAGCTTCTTCCGGGTCTATGACATGGGTGTAAGGACCCAAGAACTTGGGCCAGTTTCTGCTGCTTTCCCAGGCCATAAGCATATTGCTGGGCTGAAGTGGAACAGCCAGAACTTGAATCAGTGCCCATATAGGATGCCAGCACCACAGGTGGAGGCTTAGCTTGCTACACTAATATATTGTGGTTTGGTATCTTCCTGTGGTATGCTCAGTCTTTTTCTGTTTTCTCCAGGAAACAGACAGTAGTGATGTAGGAAACCTTTCATGGCAAGACACAGACAGTGAAGATATGCCAACACTTTCTCCTCAGATGTGCCTTGAAATTCAAGAACAAAGAGCAGAGTCTGCAGTAGAGTCACCAATGCCTTGTTTGTGTGCCTATGATGTAGACGAGTGCCTTGAGGGAGAAGTCAAAGCAGAACCAGACAATCAGGATAAGGAACAACATGTCCTAAGTCATGAGGAACTCAAACCCACAGCTCCTGATGCTGGAGAAGCCGTGGTGAAGCCTGCTGGCCACACAGAGAGTGGATGTACCCCATCAGCTCTGACACTGCCAAACAACACAGCTCAGGTAGCCAACCAAGACTCTTGCCTCCTGATGAGCCAGGCTATTTCTAACAGTGAAGACCAGGCATCTCCATTGGAAACGGTCACAGAGCCAGACTTATGTGCTAAAAGGAGGAAAATATGTCCCAAATCTCCTTCAGGTCAAGAAGAAACAAATATAACCTTTACCCAAAAACTTCTGGATTTGGAACGTCTACTTTTTGAGAGGCACAAACAGGAAGAACAAGATAGGTTATTAGCATTAGAACTTCAGAAAGAGGAGGATCGAGAACTAATGAAGCCAAACAGGAAAAAGGGATCCCCAGGTGAGTATCAGTTGCGAGCTACAACCTCACCTCCAGACAAGCTGCTCAAAGGACCAGGGCAGAATCTCAAGGATAGGAACAGCAGAAGGCAGACTGATAGGGAGTCTTCCAAACTGCAGAGAGGCTGCGGGTATGAAAACCGGCAACCTCCTTTCAAGATCCAGGTGAAGACTCCAGCTGCTAAAGGAAGAAGGGTGCGGAATTCTACCAGAGATAACTGTAATATATCTAAAAGTGCTTCTTCCTTACAGCCTAGTAATTCACAGAAAAGTATTTTCCAAATGTTTCAGAAATACACAAAATAATGCATGGGTAGAGGGGAGTGTTTTATAATCCGGTAAAGTTGGATTATGAAATTCTCTTTTCTAGCCCAGAATCTACATTGGTCATCCATTTCTGCTCTGTAGACATACCACTCTCTGTCTTGAAAGGAGGGGGGACACAAGGGAAGAACAGACACTTCTGCAGAATGATTGAGAAACAGGGGTCCTTATTCTTACCATTGCTAATCATTGGACTGGCACCTCCCAAAGATAGAAAACTGCTTCAAAATCTTCTCATCCCATCCTCTTTCCAAAAATGTGCATGTTTTATGATGTTTGCTTACCTTTTCGTCGTATTTCAAAGCAAGATTAAACTAAATCAAGTAGTTAAGAAAACCATACAGAGTTTAAAGTCTTACGTATCTCTGCTACTTTCCCATACGTTTACAGAACTCTTGAAATGTATCTTCCGTAACACTACAGTAATTAATTTTCATCTCGTTTCATAAAATTTGAAGCATGATACTATTTTCTTTGCTTTAAAATAGATTAGGATCAATATTAAATCAGAATATTGGTTTTCTAGAAAATTAGAAATTAGTTGACAGGAAGTCGGATCCCTTATGTAAAAAGTGTTGAGTTGAGATGAAGTTGAGTGGGGTGCAGTCACCCTGTGGAATCCCCTGGAACTGAGTGAGTGACCAGAGACAGGGTCCAAATTGGCATAACAGATGTTGCTGGGCAGAGTATTTGCCCCCATCCTTTTTTTACGAAATGACAGAGAAAGCATTTTGATTTTACTGCTTTTGATGCTAGTATCTGGTGTCAAAATAAAAAATAGTTCCTAAATTAACTGAAATTTTGAAAATCCACATTTCTGTTAGGTTAATATTCCAGGAGAAAAAGGGAGGGAATTTACTGTGCAATGTTATATATCACAATTTGTTATAGAATTTGAAACATCACTGTATATCTACTTTATGTTGTCATTTGTGTTGATATTAACATTGCTTATGAAAAGAAATTTTTAAAATGTGATACCTGGGTCTTGTCCTCTATTAATCCCAAAAGTTAATTCAAAAGACAGTGATGTCATGAAATTGAATTTAGAGACTATTTCATTAATGTGAACAAATTAATATAAAAATACAATAAAATGTTCTAGAGCTAATTTTAGTTAAGTTTGTCAATATTTTATGTCATTACATTCTCCTCTAAATTTTACAATTGAAATTCTGTTATTCTTTGCATTCTTGATGGCATCTATGCGAACACTGATTAAATAATGATGGGTAAAATGACCTTTCAAGTAACTGCCTCCTCCTGAATATTAGTGTGGTGAAATAAACTATAGGCAGAACTGACCAAATTTGGCTAAAACAAACTAAAATACATCTTGTCAAACTAATATTTTTTTCTGTGTTCTACAGTAAGCATTGTTAGAAATCCTCAAATTAAAAATTGTCTAACTTGGTCTTCCTGGAATAATCCATCACCAAAAGGGAAAACAAAGGTAGCCGATGATACATGTATTTAGGCTTTATGTATTTAGCCCTTTACTTGTCTGTGAAGAAATCTTCCAAACTAAAATTGGTTTAAAAATGTTTGATTTCTCTGATAATCTGCTATTGCTACCATGTATGCCTTTTTATTGGAAATTAAATGTTTTGTGTCAGTCAACAGGGTGTACTGCTACTGGTTTTCTCTTGTGGAAGGGATGTGAGAATGTTGGATTGCTCAGGGAGTGCTGAATCTGTACAAACATTGAGAACTGAAAAATTAAAAATTATTGAAAAATATAAATTGTGTATTATGTATATTTTATTACAGTTTAGAAATAAAGATTAGTTGCATAACTATACATTGTACATTATAAAAGTAACCATAAAAGAAAATTGGAAAACTGGGGGATGCGTGTGAATAGTTGCAGTTTATTATAAAGAACTAATTTTCTCTATGTAGAAATTATCTGCCAACACATTAATAAAAAAGTAATAATAACTCATTTTGAAAGTTAGAAAAGTTTGTTTCCTGGACCACTGTGTTATGGCACAGTGGGTTGAGCTGCTGCTGGTAACATTGACATATTCCATATCAGAATACTGTTTCTGAACCAGCTCCTGCTAGTTTGCTGGGGAAGGCAGCACGAATGGTCCTGCCACCCACATCTGAAACCTGGGGAAAGTTCAGGTCTCAGCTTTATCTTGGCAGTTATGGCCATTTTTTAAAATTTATCTTTTATTGATTACATTGCATTATGTCACACAGTTTTAAAGGCACTGGGATTCCCCAACCTCACCCCCAATGGTGAATTCCTCCACCTTGTTGCATTACCACAGTTCAAATTCAGTTGAGATTCTTCCATTGCAAGCATCTACCAAGTATAAAGTCCAGTGTCTTATTGTCCAGGTAAGTTCAGCAGTTTCTTGGGGAGACCATCTCTGGTCTGAAATTAGCGCCGGCAGAGTATCATCCCAATCAATTAAAAGCCCCGACATTACATTAGTAACTATAACATTATGGAATTAGTTGATATGGTATTAAGTAACCAGTATGTTAAAAGAGAGAAAAAAAATGCAAGTTCTGAACCACATCCTGTGACTTCTACATTGACATTACAATTATTAGTTTATATACAATTGGGTTCTATACAGCTTAAAATGGCTATAGATTACTGTTCAGCTGTCTCATGTCTATTTTAATTTTAGTATTTAGCAGTTTATAGCGTTGAAGCATGATTTTGCTGAACCTGGCTGTTTTTCGGGTAGTCTAACTCTATAACTCTAACAAGACATGTCAACAGTTTAGGTGAACAGTTTTAGGAGGGGTGTGCAGAGAAATCGTCAATACCCTATTGAGGAGTAACTAATCTGTGTGTCCCACCCAGTGAGTTAAAAGTGCATCCCCGCTGTTTCCTGTCTGTTTCTAAGCTTTCCTTGTTCTCTATCTATTCTAGTTTTTGTTTGTTTGTTTGTTAGTTTTGAGGGGTTTCTGGTGGGTCCTGATGGTCATTACGAGAGAGGGTGAGGACCCAAAGTCGGAACCAGGCAAGGACCAGAGAAAGCTTCTCTCCCTAGTCCCGAAGGAAGTTTACTGTTCTGTTTCTGCGGACTGCACAGTGCTCCTGGTTGTCATTCTGATGACCTTGGATCCTGCAAGGCAGGGTATGGGTTTCTTCCATCCCATGTGGTACATCCAAATGGGGGTGGGTGACCTCAGAGTTCTTGGCCTCTGAAGGGGGATGTAGTCCTCAGTGCTCATACTGATAGTCCTTGGTGAGGATCTGGGAGTCCAGGGTTGGGACACAAGCCTCCTCCTGTCTGCCTGCTCCACTCTGGGGTGCCGCCCTGCTCTATGCATATGACCTCCTGTTAAGAGGTTGTCAGGATCACTCCTGATCCCCCCATATGCCTTTGTAGTTTTGATTCGAGTCTGTTGTCTATGAGTTACGATCCTAATAGGTTATACTTCCCATCTTTCTCACACCTTCTAGGGTGATGTAAGATTTCTCTGCTCTCCCTCCCCATTTCTGAGTAGCATAAGGCCTTACAAATACATTAGGTTTTACAATTCTTTGATGTAGATCATAAGGAATCTGACTCATATTGATTGTTGGTTCACTAGTTACTTCACAATTATTTCAACCCCAAACAGCCTGTATCTAATGCAATAAGATATTGTGAAGTTGTGGCCATTCTTAAGATTTTTTTCTCAGTGAAAAAAAATACGTAAAAACACGTGTAATATGGTTTCCCATCTTCCTTATTGAGCACAAATAAAAGTGGTTTTGGTTATTTTGTTTTCCTGTTTTGCATATTTTTAAATTTATTATCGTTGTTATTATTTGATAGATCAGATTTTTATGAAGAGACAGATCTTCCATCTGCTGGTTCATTCCCCAAACGGCTGCAACAGCTGAGCCAATCCGAAGCCAGGAGCTCTTCCGGGTCTCCCACATGGGTGCAGGGTCCCAAGGCTTTGGGCCGTCCTCTACAGCTTTTGCAGGCCACAAGCAGGGAGCTGGACTGAAAGTGGAACAGCCAGGACATAAACTGGCACCCATGTGGGACCCAAGTACTTGCAAGGTGAAGATTTAGTCATTGAGCAATTATGGCAGCCCACCTTTGCACTTCTTAAACCCTGATAGGCATCAGCAGTTTGCTTTGTGCAGTGTAATTATGCCATCAGCATTCCTCTCCCTTACTTAAATTAGAAAAAGATTTGGAGTCTTAATTACTAAGTGTGGGTCTCATATTTTGACTTTTTAAAAATTTATTTGCTTTAAAAGAGAAGATCGTACATCTACTAATTCACTCCCCAGATGGCCACAGTTCAGGGGTTGGCCCAGGGAGAAATGGATTTTGGATGTGTGTTGGAAGGATTTCCCCTCTACAAAGCTATAAAGCTTTCGACCTTCAACCATCACTGGTGGGATCTTTTTTCCTCATCAGCAAGAGGCCTTTATCTCAGTTCTGGGTGCCAGAAGTCCAGGAGCAAGGCTCTCGGTTCAGGGTCTGGTGAAGATCCCTTTCCTGGTTCTTAGTTCACTATTTTCTCACTGTGTCTTCACACAGCAGGAGGGCTACTGGAGCTTTTTGAGTCTGTTGTAGAAGGGTATTCATCATATTCCTGAGGAATTACTGCCACCTCCCAAAGACCTGCCCTTCACATACATCACAATGCAGATGAAATTTTCACATCTGGAATTGACCCCACCCCTGCCCACCCCCCCACACACACTCCAGGGCACAGACAGACTATTGCAGACATTAAATGAGATTGTTGGAAAAATTTTACAAATATAACTGAGTCACAGAATGACACTGGAGACTTCAACAGAGAAGGCACCACAGTAATATTCCCTAAAGGGACATCTGATCCCTCTGGTTAACGAGCACTCGAGCAGCCATTATTGGATATAAAGGACTTACTGTTCCCTGGGATATCTGATGGCCTCCTGAGTAGCATCTCCAGACGGCTTCCCTGCCATTTCGCAAGAAAGCTTGTGGAATGCTGTGATCTTGTTTCAGCTGTGTCCAACTGCGTGGCTGTGCCTTTGCCTCAACCATCTGGGTGGAGTCCTGGACCCCAGCGGACAGATGCACAGAGCCATGGGACAGCCAGCTAGTATACCCTGGGAAAAGGTAGACAACAATCCTGGGGCCTTGGGAGGGCAATTTTTGAAATTCATGGGGAAGTCATTGGTCTGCTTTGGGAGATGAAGAAGGGATCATGTGCAGTTCTCTATACCTGACATGGGGTGGGGTATCCACAGTTCCATAGAGAAAGCACTTGAGCTCTTCCCAAGATGGCCCTGACAGGACGGGGGCAAAGGTCAACATTTTATCAAGCAAAAGACACTGCCCTAGGCCCAGCACGATGGCCTAGTGGCTAAAGTCCTCATCTTGAATATACCAGGATCCCATATGGGCACCAGTAGTAATCCCAGCTGCCCTGCTTCCCATCCAGCTCCCTGCTTGTGGCATGGGAGGTTAGTCGAGGACGGCCCAAAGCCTTGAGACCCTGCACCCGTGTGGGAGATCCAGAAGAGATCCTGGCTCCTGGCTCCAAATCGGCTCAGCACCAACTGTTGTGGTCACTTGAGGAGTGAATCATCAGACCTTCCTCTCTCTGTATATCTGACTTTGCAATGCAAATAAATAAATACATAAAAACAAATCTATTTAAAAAGGTGTTACCTTGTTAAATTCATGCTCTGTGGAGTAAATATTGTGGGGATGGTTATACATTCCCTTTCCTTCTGGTGATATCCTATCTTGAGGAGGGAGAAGAGTGCTGGGCCTGGGGTGGGGCTGGAGACACAGGGAGCAGCTAGTGGAAAAGCAGCAGGGGTAGAGGAGGAGCGGCAGCAGTGTAAGGAAATGGACCTGGGACTGCCTGTTGTGGGCAGGGAGCCAGCCCCTGGTCAGATCCTGTGAAAAGACAGAAACTTCAGCTGCTTGAGACCCAGTGAGAGAGGGTTGTCTGCACCGTGGGGGCAGGAGCAGTCCAGAAGTGATTTTGAGGGCAGGGTGGGGAGAAAGTATTTACTAGACAAAAAGGGAGGGACGATGCAGAAAAGGGATGAAAGAGCAGCTGGAATGAGCCAGGAGACCTGTGGACGTGTTTCAGTGTCAGTAAAGAACATATGGCTGTGAGGCAACATTTTCTGATAGGGGTTCATGGAAAACAGCTAAAATAAGTTTACTAAACAGCAATTTTGTTTGAAATCCCTGCAACTTTTTCATGATATGCTGTTCATTGTCCTGCAGCAATGGACTTGGGGCACAGATCTGATAATAATGATAATAACATACTAACACACTTGATGTTCAATAGCTGAAGTTTATTAGTGGTCATATAGGATAAGGGAGGAGGGATTGAGGAGCTTACAGAGTTCCCATAAGCCTGCCTACAGAACCCATCAATTGTTTCCACACCCTTGTCTGAAAATATCTGTTTTGTATATCCAATCAATTGTTCCCATTCAAATGATATCCCATCCGTTGTCCTACAATATGCATCCTTTTTTGATTTGAAAGGCAGAATTATGGAGAGACAGGGTCTTTCACCTAATTCACTCTCAGTGTATAGTGTGGAAGGGGGCAGCCCAGATCAGATTACTACAACCACTGGTGCCCACAGGATGAAGTGCTAGGGTCTAGCCTTATAAGGATTTTGGAGGGGGTCGCCCCAACCAAACTGATACACCTACAGTTGGTGGTCCAGATCAGGCTGTAGCACCTGTCGAAGAGCAGGCCAAACAAGGTGACCTGGTAAGGAGTAGACCC